AAAAAAGAAGCTGCTTAAATGTTTTGTCCACCGTAAATCAGAAATGGGTCGACCCAACACCGAGCTGAGGACCGCCGGCTCCGACAGGCAGCCAACCCAAGGAGTCGGCTACCTTGGCAAAAAGTGAGTGTCTGCCAAAAACCGATGAGCGTCCTGTGAAGTGTGCGCTGCTTGTTAAAGCTGCATCACCCAGTTCACATCCACGTGTCCAGCTGCTTTCACCTGGATCAGACCGATGGACAGGAAAACACACCTTCATGACACTGTCCCTGGAACCTGATCACTGGGACCAAAGAAACGTCAGTTCATAGCACAGTCCTCCCTCACAGTGACTATTATGCTGACTCCTATGTGTAAAACTATTTGATGTTCTGTATGAATACGGTCTGATGAACTGATGTGTGACCAACTGCACCAGCAGCAGAACCACGGGCCCAGAACATGACAAGGAAGACTGCACGGAGGAACACATAGCTGGGACTGAATCTGTGATATTTTTTGCTCATAAAACAGATAAAACAAAGTTCCTCTGAGTCTCTGTAGGTTAAACATCCCACAGTTTCTGGCTGATGAAAACAATGTGACTGTGAGACAGNTCTTACTGGGTAGCTGTAGCTGGGTAGTTCTTACTGGGTAGCTGTAGCTGGGTGTTCCTGGTCTCCAGCAGCAGGACTGTGTTCTGCAGGATGCTGGGCAGGAAGCACACGGTGGCTGGAACGGTCAACTGCTGGTGCTGCTGGAAACAGGGACGGTGGGAGTGGCACAGATTCTGTATTGGGGCAAAATGAAAGACTTTTTGTAAAATAAAAAGACAAGGAAACAGAAACACAGTTTTTGGGGGTTCAAATGGATTCTGACACCGTCGGACAGATCAGTCTACAAGAAACACTCACATAAAAGAAAACACAGCGAGTATTATCAGTGTTTCTTAGATTTTATTGAACAACAATTTAAATAGTGTTTCAAATCAAACGGACACTGTGCAGGTTCCTCTGTACCACCAGGGGGCACCAAAGCACTTGTATAACCATCATGAGACACCAGAGTTAGTGAGACACAGATTTCAGGCTACACACAATACATCAGCCTTCAATCACGCTCAGAAAACACCTTCAGACCATAACATCTGTCAGACTTATCAGAGAACAGGGCCTGAATGTTGGTCACACAAACATCCCTCAAGTGCAGAGAGCAGTATATTTTACAGGTTAGGACGTTTCCCTTTAATGGCAACAACTCAAGGATGTATAAAGGCGAAGGAGCGTGCAGAGTGGGAGGAGCCTCCTACGATTTCTGGATCATGACCTGGAATTTACCTGTAGAGCGAGAAAGAGAAGAAAGGAGAAGATGTGTCAGTCCATCCATCCATCATCTCTACACCTTTATCCTCACTACGGTGGTGGGGGGCGGAG